TTTATGTGATAAGTAATAAAAAAAGCTCTATTACCCAGTCCATTCGACTACGAATTTATCAGTCTCGATTAAAGTAATTTCTCCGAATTCTGACATAAATAAAAAAAAACTGATATCGATTAAAATTACTGTTCATTGCTTAGTTTCAGTGAGATTTTCGAAATTTTGAGCTGTCTACTAGCCTTTCAATAGATCATTACAAAATCTGCTCAAACTGAATGTCGGTTCAGTTGGTAGGTTGATGATTTACTCAAAAGTACAAAGGATCTTATGCGGCTTACTGAGTACGAGGTATATACCCTGTCAAACATCTTGAGCATATACCATAGGCGGTAGCAATTTTACATACAAAGACGTGAAGTTTTTTGTCTATAGTTTTACTAAAGAAGTTTGTCGCTGCCTATAGTAAGTAGATGTTGTAAACATCGCATCATCTGGCGAAACGCGGAATGGCGGCGGGGCGGCGGTAATGGCGAGCGGGCGGGCGGAGGCAGTGTATTGCGTTGCGTACGCGCACGCACAAGCAAGAGGCGCGCGCATCTCGGCCCCGCGCGCAAGTAGGTCAGGGCGCTCTGCGGCCGCGCGCATTGTAAATTTAGAACGATCTGCGCTTCAAGCTCTGCCCCGAGTGATCGCCTAGCTACACTACAATTTAATAAATTATGCAAGTATGTACGTAGGTAATTATATTCACTTCAAAATTAAATGATGGACTTAAATGATTCTGTGAAACAATTGCGTTATGTACACAGTTTTGCGTGTCATTGAAAATCGAACCAAATTGTAAATGGATTTTCTCATCTATTTTTGTTTAAAGTTACCGTGGGAAAATATTTTGCATTAAGTATAATCATATTACATATAGCATCGCATTACATTTAATAAAATGCCAGTGAATTAATATTCTAATGAGTCATACGTATGTGACTTATTTTCAGGAAAAATATAATATTTTGTTCTTTTGCATCTTTTTTATTTATGAATGTTAGTCAAAAATACTACTGATTGTCGGTAATTCGAGAGAATTTACTATTCACTTAATTATGAAGTGTTTCTTTACAAAACTTATTGCTGAATTTAAGAATTAAATTGTGATTCATTTCACAGAGAGGTATTCCCCCTGTAGTTTGCTTGACAAAATTGTTTATTTACAATTGATTTCTGTAGGCAATTTATTTCTTTGTAATATTGTGATATCACACAACACTGGGGTAACAGATGGCAAGTTCAATTTGTCTATTGAACAGATTCAGTTGTAGAATTGAACTTTGATGCTTAGAGAGGCGAACTGTGGAATAATCTACAAAAGTGAAGAAATACCACAGACGATGATTTCGCCAAGTTTTCAGTAATCATTTACGACTTCTTGGTTGATTGAGTTGCATACTAAGACAGATCGCTCAGAGAGATGACCAGAAATCTAAATAAAGAACATTAATTATTGGGATGAGAAACTTTGCAGAAAATTGAAAATGCCTGAAATGAGCATTGTACATACTGATTAGGATTAAAAATTGTTTTGATATGAATTTGTCGTCTTTTGGTAAAAATTATATCATTTCAGGTTTGAACGTTATTGTTATAGTGTATTTATGTTGCACTCTCTCTCCATATAAACTTTAATTGTGCAAAAATAGCACACTTTTCTCTGCGGAGTGCCGGCTTAAAAAGTGACGCCAAATGCTTTTTTTTTCACGTATTATAATGATTTGTAGATAAGATGGAGAACTATCCTTTTTCATTTGTTTTCAAATCCAGTGATAGAAAACCAATAACTATGTGAAGAATTAAAGGAAACACTTTTGTTCAAAGTGTTCTTCAAGTAGCGTAGTGATGTGAATTAAGCAAATGCATATGTTCTATTCACAGTATTCAGATTTTATAGAAAAATAGTATTCCCAAAAAAAGTAATGACTTAAATATTGTTCTTCTGATTTAAATTTATAAATAAAGTAATACTAAAACCAAAAGAGAAAGTGAAAAAGAATGAGAATAGATTCATATTTTAGCAATATATGACGATGAGAAGATTATCTATCATCCTTATCCCTAATGAACTTGTTAAGGATCGCCTTGGGGTATCTTTTAAAATGGGTATAATGTTATAGTAGGTATTTATTGTTTCTCTTTTACACCACAGTGTATGAACATATAATGTAATTGTGATTTTGTAATTTAAAAAAGACTTGGAAGATCTTAATAAAAATATACTCAATTGCTATTTCTTTGAATGATGCGGACCCTAAATAATTTGGTTAGCAACCCTATGGTTGCGTTACAGGGTCTACCCTGTACGTACAGGGCTTCCCCTATCTGGTAGAATCTTGTTGCTCCGAAATTAATTTGGCAAAACACAATTGGCATAATATTCTTAAAACGAATATTAATCAGGCATATTTTCCTAAATATAATCATTGTTCGGTCTAATGTTTTTTTTCCGAATTCACAATGGCATACTTTTAAGTTAGCAGAATTTTATTAGGTCTATTTACCTCTGGCAAAATTTTATCCTACATAATTTCGTAAAGCATAATCACTGTTTGTGGTCAGTGGGTTAGTAGTGTTGTGGCCAAAACTTAGCCAGCCACCTGATATAATAAATAAATAAGGAAAACTTAAATATTTCTATGCCAAAAAACGATTCTGACTGTCAACCTTCTGCGATATGATGTTCTGCTTTTTAATTATTGTCCATATTAAATGTATGCTTTAAGATGATACTTGCTTAAAAATATGAGTTAAAATTTCTGATAAATGTGTAAATGCCAAAGTTGTTGCCGTTGCCAGCCGCTGATATGCGTAGTAATATTGTGACATTAAAATTTCAGCGATAAAAGGCAGACCTGTGTACGGTATCCAAAATGTCTCCTAATTACATAAATTGAATGAAACTCGTTCCAAAACCAATTCAAGGGAATTATATTTAAACGAGATTTTTGTCCATTTATACAATCTGATCTGAATTTTCAAGGCCTAAGATTTGAATTATTGAGTGTTTACAATAATCTAAATAACATGTTATTTTTTTTAATATTTAGGTTCTTTTTACCGCTATTGACAGTATTATTTTCGACTATAATGGGCTCCTTTTGTTTTTTGATTCTGTTCTCAGATATCTTATTCAAGATAATTACGGAAGAAACTATTAATTTCTTGGTTTTACATTTGGTTTTTTATAGTTCATGATTCTTTTAGATATTTGGATTTATTGCCACCAGAAGTTCTACAATATATCATTAGATTATATAATTGACTTTGATTAACTATTAGTTTGTTTTATTTAAACGAACAACTTGGATAATTTCGAATGTCAAAAACTTATGGCGGAATTACAATTGGTCGTTATCCCGTATCCAGAAAGACATTACTCTAATTCGGGCTCCGGAAACAATAATTACATTGTTTTCGAGTACTGGAACACGGGCAAACAACCCTGCACTCGCGTTCTAGTTGGAACGAATTGAATACGGGCGTACTCGACTCCATTCATTTACACTGAGTCGTTGGTACGGATTCCATAGGCACTCGTATTCGGGCTAACGACCAAGTGTAATCCAGCCATAAGTGTTAGTTGCTCCACAGAGCTAGTTGAAGCAAAGTTTTTCTATAGCTTTAACTTGCTGGACAGTTATTGTCACAGTCAAATCAAGGCTTCGTTTTGGCTATCGTCATGTGCTAATGGTGCATACCATTTATTACCTAATCGTTACTTTAACTGAACAGTTAAAGTAACTTGGTGTAACTTACCCTTAAATAAGAAGTCTTCCCTTGAAATAAAATGGTTGACTTTTTCATCTTTCTTACGTACAAATTTCATAGTGACTTCATAATCATCTTTTACAATAAGTAATTATCGCATTCATAGTTTAAGATTATTTTATGGAGCGAAAAGGAGATGCCTATTAATGATGTGTCTTGCTTTTTTTAAATGACTTGCTTTTCCTTTTTGTGCTTATAATGACTCTTTACTCCAGGTTTTATCGTGGTACTGTCTTTAGAAGTAATAGAATTAATAGATCGTCATTTCTTAATACATGTACTTACTATTTTTTTACGTGATGTTTTGTTACTTCACTTAATATTAAATTTCTCCATGAGCTAATGCTAGCTTAATTATTTATCTCGTTCATCATTTACAACTAATCTAATATTTTAGTTCAAAGTTACTGATCTGATTGAGGAGTAAAATTTTATAAAGATACACCTTTGTGACCAGTTAAAACAGTCTTCTATTGCCAAGTGCACACAGACCATTCGAAAAACAAAACAATAACAGTGGCCAAATACAAAATGTACCGTCCGATCCAACTTTAAATATAGTGGCATATTTTACATATGAAATGCTGAGTAAATATTTAATTTTTAAATAGGTAATTCAAACATAAGTAGTTTATAGGAATTGAAGAGGAGTTACTAAAGTTGAAATCATCTGTTCCGAACTTTTTTACACTATACTCGTAGGTTTCATAATACCTAACCCAGTTTTGCGTTTGCTTAACAGCAAGTTAACAGTAATTAGTGTGACAGTGGCAACTAGTTCACCTAATGATATTTACGTTGTATTGTCGTCAAGATAGTTTACCTCGAGAATAGAAGTTAGCCAGGTATGACAATTTTGCTAAAAAGTTTGAATAATATTTTAGTTCAAATTATTAATTTCAGAACTTTGTTTTTTTTTTACTTTTGTACTGATGTTTGGATGTGCAGCAGAAAACTCGATGGTAATTGCAGCAACAGCACCGAGCGCCGCGACTCTGTGGCCCAACGGCAAACATCATTCGGAAGTAGGTGAAGGTCGACTACGAAATACAGCAATACAACATATCACGGTTACAAAAACTGTCTCTCCTACTGCGAAACTTTCAATTTTAACTACATTCTGACCGAAATCAATGATGCAAAATCCATGTGATATTGTATAAAAATAAGTCACATCTCCTGACATAGGTATATGGTGTAAAGTTGAAAATGAAGATAAAGAGGAAAAGTGGAAAACTTACCTTCCAATTTCATCCCGACGTCGAGACACTTTTGGAAACGGCAAAACGGGCAACGTTTCCGCTGTGTTTTATCTATGTGACAGGCCCGTTCAGCGACACAAGTGTACACCTTCTTATTTTGTACAGTTCTCTTAAAGAATCCTTTGCACGACTCGCAGGTGAGGAGTCCGTAGTGGTAGCCGCTGACCTTGTCGCCGCAGACAGGGCATAACTCTTCGATCACATCTTTCGTGTCAGCCTGATCGCAAACTGTGCCTGCTGCTGGCAAATAAGCTCCTGGCTCGCCACCGGTTCCTGTCGGAAACAGATATGATGGGTCCAAATTGGCGTAGCCAAAAGATTGTTGTTCAGGGCACTGGTAAGCAGCACCCTGCGGCACGTATTGTTGAGAAGCTCCCGAAGGTCCGCCAGAACCAGATCCTTCAGGACCCGGACTCAAGTCGAACGGAGACATGTTGAGGGACATAAGGCCTGTCTGCTGGTCCATCGTCATGCTCGGCCGCGCTCGGCGGCTGCTTATTACAACTCCCTACAGCGGCGTTCGACCGCGACAACGTTCACACAGTCACCGAGTTCACTAGCGGTTTGACCGCAACACTATCTGCCGCTCGCGGGCTGCACCTGTTCAAGCACTATAGATGGAGACACATAAATCCAGAACATTTTGTTCTATGGGTATTGGTTTGAGGGGCGCCGAGCGCCGTCGAGCACAGCTGATCGGTACAATCGTCCAAGAGTTTACGTCGCGAGTGATGTTACGATCGCGTCGAGAGTTCGCATCGGCAGCGGCGTACGTGCCGCTCTGGAGACGTTCCGCGATCGACTGGCGGCCGGCCGGCGACAAAGGCGCGCGTGCCGGCGCGGGCGCCTCCCGCATGCGCGCCCCGCCGCCACCCGCGAGCCTCCGCCCGCGAGCACAATGGAAAACGATTAGGAGCCCATGTAATAATAAGTGAAAGTGAGTCGGTGACCCACTTTCCCGCGATCCAGGTCTATGTTAGTGCGCGTTCGCGCGGTTGCGCCACATCACGGGCGCGGGCGCGGGCGGGGAGCGGCGGCGGGGGGCCGGGGGGCGGCCCACTGACCCACTTGCGCGCAGTGCCGCAGCAGGGCAGGGTTGCCGCGAACGAGCTCATGTTTACGTTCGCGAATATCACTCGCACTACCTATGTACTGTATCAACGTGATGGCAGCAGTTAGTGTTGCGACGTAAACTACACATTCTCGATAGCGACCACTATGATTAGACCATTGATAGATTGAATACAATTGAGGAGCGTCTTTAACGCATCAAAAGAAATACAAAACACAAACATTCCTTTTATTTTCTGTCTCTTATTTTTTTTTTGCATGTATGAATATAAATTATAGTTTGTGTATATATGTTGGTTGTGTCCGCCACTTGTACACTTATTTGTGCAATAAAGTTTAAATAATTAAGTAAATAAATATCCTCATACATTGGACCGTCAGACATTTTTCGAAACTTACAAAAATAAATCTATATCCAGTTGTACAATTTCAGTTTGACACCCTTATCTTTAGAATTAGAACAACCTCTTAAATTCAAATACGCAGAAAAAATACATTTCTTAATTTTTTGATTTAATGCGAACCAAATTTTTACATATAAATTCATACATTCACGACATACCAAAACCTTATGTTTTTTTTATCGGAATCTTTGGAGCTTTTAACGGAAAAATTCTTAAACTTTTCATCAATATTATTTTAATAATAATAAAATGCTTTATTGACATACACCTTACAGGACATACAAGACAGTGAAAACGTACACAAAAGGCAGCCATTATTTTATTCTTTGTTCAAAAAGCTTTATCCTGTTTTTTTAATTTTCTTTAAATTTATATAAAAAAATCAAAGATATTTCCCTACTATATAAAACTGAAAAAAGTCATTGTTTTGAAAAATGTAGTTTCAAAATTTTCCTGTATTTTTACCTATAAATTGTTCGTGAACTGCTTTGTTATTAAATACTACCCCATATGCATTTTTACAATTTTCGTTTCATTGATATCCTAAGTCCGAATAAACCGCTAATTCTTTAAAAACCAGAGAATATTAATTTTACCTAACGTATTCTAACGTATAAATTCAATATTGTAATCGTTTTATTATTTTTAAGGAGACGAATAATCTCAATTTCACTCTAATCTTCTTAATTGATCTTGATATTGTAATAAAATTATGAGAAAAACAAAACACAAAGAATCAACTTTTATTAAAGTGCATCTTCTTTCATTCTATTTACGGATTTCAATGTTTATCTAAATTTAATCGATACTGTTAGATATTATTCATTATTATTTGAAATTCGTACACAGCAACTTTATAATCTGAGCAAAACTAAGGTTGTTCATACATGTTTCGTCTCGGTATGTCTGTTTTCGTCTTCTTTTCCAAAAATTATTATGCGAAATCTATGATAACAAAAACAATAGTTTCACGAGAGAAAATAAATGTTTTCACAATTTTACTATAAAACAGAAAATAATGAGGAAAACAAAATATTGTGAAATGGAACCAATATTGTAAGCGTAGGAAGTTGCCGCCATACTACACTAACAACTGACTTAAACAAACAATTCAATATACTTTTCTTAGAAGATAAAAAGATATAAAGTGTAATAATATTTGATAAACTAAACTATATAACGATTTTATTAATAGGTAGGAAGCAGAAATTAGTACTACCTATTAATATAATAAAGAAAAGTTTTACCAAGAATAGTATAACATCTTGCAGGTTTCATATCTCTTGTTCTCGGAAGCTATACCATCGTCCAATGTGTATGGCGTGTTGCTACTTTGAATACGTTACATTCCAAAATTTAATTTCCAGCTACATAAATTGCCCATTGAATTCATCACATTGTTTTTCTTTATTACATTCGATAGTTCTCAAAATAAATGGCCAAAATTCAGATACAATGCAAGTGCTGTACAATACAGCGAAATAAATTAAAGATCTTGACCTGGATTTTGTTTAAATCAGTCATCAGGTCACGAACGAGTGACTGCAATAGCCTTGCTCGGTCGACTCTATTATGCGATATATATTATGTGCGTTTTAACCAGATTTAAACTTAATGTCTATCGCTATAAGGGCAACGGGGGAAATTAGCTCTCTTAATGGCGTCTGGCACATGTTCCCTATTATGTCACTGTTATGCCCTTATTACCAGCGTACATTGTCATGCTAACGTATCAATGTTTGTAACAGCTTTAGAAACATTGATGGTAAGTGTATAATGTGGTCCTCTATTGATTGGTTTTTCATCACGTGCATTATAGGAAAACATATGAAATTAATTACCAATAACAGAACAATATTAGCATCCAAGAACTTAAAAATCTCAGCAAAGTAGTCAGTGAAGGTGGTTTGGTTTTAAAAGGATTTATTTATAATTTTACAGTTACAGTCAGACTTTTGTAGCTAACTGAAAATTATGCTAATAATATCGTGGTTCATTTATAATTGGCATAGATATTTTCAAATCAAAAACTTTTCCGGAATTCTTAGTAGATTCTCAGATGAAGCCTTTTATTTAAATTATTTTATAAGACATTCATTTCCTAAATCTGCAGAAAACATGTGCAATTTCCACGAAGAAACCAGAAAGAGATCTTCAAAAAAAAACAACTCATAAGAGTCAACGATGACTTCATATTGAGCTTTCGTAACCGAGACCTGAATACCGAATGAAAAAGCGACAGTAGATGTGGACACACATACAAAGTGTGTCGTTTTCGCTATCGAGTAGACGTCGCGGCCTCGTGCGAAAGCAAGAGCGGAATCGCACGCGCAGCCATGCTTTCTTCGCTACGTCATACTTTCTCTGTGCGGTGACGTGCGCTGTTGTAACGCCTGTAATGTGCAGTAATACGGCGCAAGCGCACATGTCGATGTCACACGCACGCGACGCTCGCGTTGAACGAAAAATAATACACGCATGATTTACCTAATTATTGATTACTTGTTTACTAATATATACATTGCAAATATGACCACTCTCTTTCTTAATTAAATTTGATATCTGGTCCAAATTAGCATGGATTTGATAAATATACGTGGTTTTGGAGTATGTCCTTACTGTATTGATTGGTCAAACCTGATCGATTTTAAGTCACTATAATCATAGGTATCTTATTAAGAACCTTAACATTTTTTAAATAAAAATAAGTTTCCTACTTATTTTTTCCACATCACAAAGAATGCAAAATATGACGACATTATAGTGTTATCATTACAAGCCATAAAAAAAACTATAAAAAACCAGTTAGACAACGAGTCCTTTAAATAAGTAGGTATTTCTTCACGTTTATCGTAAGTCATCTCAGTGAGGCTAAAATAAATAAAAAGTTTACTTAAATCATTACCCGGACTTCTTTCGATGTAAAGTGACTAATCAAGAAACAGGTAAATCCCTGTAGTAGTGTAATAACTGTTACTTTATAATGATTTTTATTTGTACTATGGCTGAGGATAATCTGTTGCGTTGTTTGTGTTGCGTGTGTTCCAATTATTTTTAAGTAGGTGGTACATAGTGGAAGTAACCTCCCCTAAAAATTTCTTATAATAACAAGTTTAACGGTGCTATGTTTCTGTCTATGAGTTAAGTTCCAGGGCTGCACGGCATACTAATAAGTGATTGGATTATTGCGAGGATGGCTGGAGTGTGGTACATTTTTCTGCTGCATCAGATCTCTTTGCAACTTGCCTTCTGTTATTTGTATGTTAAAATGGTGTAGACAAGCGTATGGCCCGCCTGTTGATAAGCGGCCACCATAGCCTAAAGATGGTTGCGATAACGAAAATATCACTCGCACCGTTGCCTATCCTGACCTAATCCCCTACTCCGTGGAGCCCTGGAACTTTACTCACCGGTAGAAACACAACACCACCAAAAGATAGTGTTATTTTACTGTGATCTTATTAACATCGCGTGGGAATAGGGTTGCTTGCTGCGCAATATAAAAAATATGGTTAGGTCAATGAACTCACTCCAAATGATGTTAAGCCATTAGCCTATTCGTGTTCCCCCGCTAAGGCACAGGCCTTCCCTATCAGATTGAGTCTTGACCCATCACGCGGGCTCCGTGCGAATTGGTGGGTGCTAACGACTGCCGATGCAGCAGGGACCAACTTAAAGTTCCTTCCAAAGCAAGTAGGAGCTCGAGATAATAAGTTTTTTGGTCACCCATACAATGAGCGACCATTTCGAAAGTTGCTTAAGTTTCACGATCACAGGTCGAAAGCTGTAACCTTGCCATCGAGCTCGTCTCTGTTTCTCTGTCTCTATGTGGAATATAATTCCTCAATTCCAGTGCCGTAACGTGACGTGAATGGGGAGAAGGCAATCACCGCAAGCCCTGCTAAAAAGGAAGGGCAAGCTTTACATAAAATCCCTTAACTACCCTTCTACGATACCCGGGTATTACAATTCGGTTGGAAATACGATATGAAAATAGGTGTTGTTATCCTAGAATCTCAATTACTTCATTGGAGGAGGGATATTTTTAATATCCAAGTAAATATGTATATTTATAAGTACCTAAGCACTTTGCATATATTTATCATTTTATACTATAATATTCCTCTTTTACTAGCTGGCGTCGAACACCTGATTAGGTGTAATAAAAAATAATTGGCACAACAGCACGGTCTCGTCTCGATATCGTGGAGTCTGTAATATTCGGCATGGTAAACAGATAACTGAACAACTACATCGTCGTCCATAACGTCAAATGATATTCGCTAATAGGCTGTGTTTACATTTAACTATGTATAAAAGGAATCTGTAAACGTAGTGTAGGAAGCCCTGAGACAAGATGGGATGATGACATTCGTAGGCTGGCTGGAGTGAGCTGGATGAGAGTGGCGGAAAATCGGGAGCAGTGGCGTATATTAGGGGAGACCTATGTCCAGCAGTGGATGAGCATGGGTTGATGATGATGATGATGTATCAAACTTACATAGTCAAATGTGACTATAGTTAAAATACTATAGAAAAATAAACCATTTGTCGAAATTTTACA